ACATATATATAACACACATATATAACATATATATATAATATATATATACATATATATATATATGTATATGTTTATATTTCGAAAATTATGTAGAGTTATATACACATATCCATTTGGATTTTTCCCTTTTGTTTTTGTAGATCCAAAACATTTTTTTTTTTCGCCAGATTCCTTTCGTGAAAGGAACTTGCTAGTTGCGACGAAAGACCAAGCCTTGAAAGGACTGGGACGGGGATTCAGTGGACTCCCCATTCGACTCCCCATAAAACGTAACCGCGTGATAATGAGGATTGGCTAAGTTGGCCACCAGCATCCAATAAAAAAAGGTTATTAATCATATATTTTTGGGGCGGGCATGACATTTTGTATTCGTATTGAGTGGGGTAAAATATAGCAACCTCAGAGCGAAATCACCATAAATGATGCGGATGGTAAGGGGAATGATGGGTTAGCGAAGATGGGTTTGGACTTGCAAATGGTGATTGTCATTTCTTTGATCATTCATTTTGTTGAAACCCATGTAACTCCAGTTGTTTAGCTTAGTTCTCTTCAAATCAGGCACTACAATAATATCAATGCATTGGTCACATATCCAACCGAAGGCAAAGGTGCTATATCATATATACTGTTTGCTCTTAGAGGTTGGAAATGTTCTGAAATTAGACCCTTCCTCATGTTCCACAGCCCAGCGACAAGTTGCGGGTCGTCCCAGGCGCAAAGTTGTGACAAATGACATGTCTCGGAAGGTGTTTTTCAAAAGTTCAACAGTGAATGTTTTTCATTTTTCTTACCTCAAGCAACATCAACCATATCATTTTCCCAGATTTTCCGAGATTTTCCCATCACATTGCTGTGGTGAAACAGAGGAGATGCCGCGGAATGATGCGGCAGACGTTTTTTTCTGAATTGTCACGTACATATTTGTCACATATTGAGATATTTTTTGAGTTCAATTTGTTTTTAAGTCCTAGCTGGGCAGCACTCAACCGATGAGAATCACGGGTCTGGAGCAAGGTTTCACCGTCCAGGTTTTCTGGAGAGTTTCCGCGTCGAAAATGTCGCCACTGTCACGATGCTTTCCAGGGGTTCCTCCGGGGTTTTTCCCATGTAACTGGACTAAAAACATCTAACTCAGCGGGAAAGTTGGAGTAGATCCAAGTAGATCCAGCCAATCTATGGCGATGTCAGCATCTCAGCTTCGGAGCTGATGGGGAGTCCCATTGAATCCCTATGGATAAAACAAAAATATGGAAAGGGCATTTGCTCATTGACTCATTGATTCTTGCTCAAAGGTAGTCACAGAAGGCCAGAAGGCTTGGCAGATGTGAATTTCTTGTGGCACCTTATCTAGAAATGTGAAACGTGGAGGTTGTGGCGGACATTGGAATCTGGTGCACGAGATGTGGTGTAATTACCGTGCACGATGGTTGTCCCCTTTCCTGCACTAAGTGGCTCAATAAGATTTGCCAACTCAAATTTACATATCACACACACACATGTTTCTCATACATCCATCATTTGCACCTGGCGGGTGTCCGACTCCAGCTCATCAAACCTCTGACAAGTCATGATGGCATGGCACCATTCTGACGTTTGGCAACACTAGTCACTAGTAGTCACTAGGCAAATTGCTTCAGCATTGCGAATAACAACAGAAAAAGGGGCTATGCACCGATTGCCAAACAGCAGACTTGGTTTCCAGAAATGTCAACTTCCGAATCCAGTATTTGTGCAACTTGTTGCCCCAAACGCTTTAACCAACCGAACTAATCCGAAAGAAACGAAGAGTGGAAACAGCCTTCAGCAGCGTTCAGAAGATGATCCATGGCCCACGAAGGCTTCAGCGCGGTGGATGTTTTTTTTTTCTCCCCGACATCGGAAGGGAACATCACAAATAAATAAAACACGGCTTTTTTTGCCATCTTATTAGCCCAATATATCCCAATTATATCCCATTAATGATCCCAATTCTGGTGCTATGACCATGGCCAGGTTCGCGAATCCTGGATTTAAAAAAGGTGACAGATCGAGGCAGGGATGGTTGAAGTCTCGCTGAAAATGGTGGTATGTAAAAGTCTGACCTGATTAAAACATATGAAAAACATATTGAAACATATTAAAACCACGTTTTGTTGTGCAGATTTTTGAGACAATGACACCCATTCATTCCAATCCAAGCCTCACCAGGACGAGGCGTTGCGAATGATGTTTCGATGTTCATTCATTTGGGGTTAAAAAAAGGACACCCAATATGGATTTACTATTGAACCAACTTTTGAAGGTTCATTTCATTCGTATACCGTATACCAATGGTTACCAATGACTTGACCCATACCTGTGAAGAAATATGCAAACTGATTTCCCCAGTGATATCCCCATAATTTTTCCATTGTATCCCAATTGTAGCCCGATTTTTCCGTATTGCATATTGCCATATTCGTCATAGCTATAGTTTGCTAATAAACACAATGAATCATTATTAACCCCACGAGCATCCCTCATTATTAACATCTTGCCGATGGTTAATCTGATAGTGGTTAACACCGCAGGATATATATGTATATATATAATGTTAAGTATACCAAACATAGGTATCAAAGTATCCATATTCTTCGGTCTCCTGAAAGCAGGTGGAGTGTTGCAAAGAACTCCTGAGAGCAGAAGAGCTGACAGAGCCACCAGGCGCGAAGTGGAAAAGTCAGAGACATCTCAGTTGGCTTCAGAAACATGGGGTCAGTGGGACATGAATGAAATCTTGAACATTGATTACTATTGGTTAATACCAGAGTCATCAAACATGGCTGGGAAATCCCCAAGCTAAATGGAGATTAATGGCTGGTTTATAGCAATCATCAATTTGGGAAAATAGTCATTAATTTTGCGACCTGGACAATCACATTCTTAATAAAGGAGCTACGTGAAACATGCCTTTCATAACTTACTTTACTAGAGATTACCCTCCGGTAATCAAACATGGCAGGGGAGAAACCAGTTCGCGGATTTTCGCAGCTATAAACCTCTATTTAGCTCGGGGATTTTGCAGCTAAGATGAAGGGTACTGGTAGTATTTTTTTTATGCGAACAACACAGGCAGGGAGGTTGTAAAAAATGAACATGCTTATTTTTTACTGCGTCCTTCACGCCCACGCACCTCTCGGGTAGCTGAGCAACGAGAGACACATCAAATGCCGTTGGAATCAAGTAAACTTAGAGGGGGAAATCTTATGGGAAGAGCAGCCCTCAAGAGCGTGGGTGAGAACCCCAAACCAACAGGCACCTTCAGACCGGGGGCAAAAGGAACCGAATCTCCCGCAACTTTACTCAAACCAAGGGGTTGGAAATTCTTTACAGTTGGGCGCAGTGATGACCTTGCAGCCGCCACACTTGAGAACCCAAAGAGGGAACGAAGGGCACGCACGGTGCAGTTTTGGATATTGAGTGACTAGACTCGAGGGGAACACACCCAGTGGGACTTCTGGAGAACATGATCCACGGCTGCGTGAATCTAATAACCTCAACTTCAGCTGGGGCTCGTCTTCCTTTCCGATTTGGTCAACTCCGGGAAGCCGTAAATTCATCGGGGGGAATCCCGGAATCCTGTCAGAAAAAGATTTTGATGAAAAAGTGGGATATTGAGCCCGAAGTAAATCAAGGGTCAAACTTGCAATTCCCCAGCATGTAATATAATATACTATGATATAATATATATTAATATATATTATAATGTAATATCACATAATATAATACCAGCAGTGCCGCACAAGGCGGTGGCGGAAGTTTCAAAAATAGGAAACCTATAGGAGAGATTGGTGCTTGTGAATCCCGGATGGCAGAGCGAATCCACTGATCGACCGAAAGGTGGTTGCAAGGGTTGCAGTGGTCACCTCACCCACAACTGCTGGATGTAGTGTGGTGTAGTGCCGCTGTAGTTGTGGTTGTAGTGTAGTGGAGTTGTAGTTGTAGTGTAGTGTAATTAGTGTAGTGTAGTTGTGGCTGTAGTTGTAAAGTAGTGTAGTGTACTGTAGAGCAGCGTGGTGTACTGTAGTGTAGTGTACTGTCGTGTTGTGTACTCTAGTATAGTTTATCCCATATTATCCCATATTATCCCATATGGTCCCATATTGTCCAATATTATCCAATATTATCTCATATTGCCAAAAAAAATCTAATATAATCCAATATTAGCCCATATTGTCACATTATCCCAAATTATCCAATATTATCCCATATTATCCAATATTATTCCATATTATCCGATATTATCCAATATTATCCGATATGATGCCAAATTATCCCTTATCCCGATATCAGATGTCCCAGGAAGGCCTGGCCTCTTCGCTTCTGAAGCGACGACCTCGAAGCGACGAGGAACGCTAGCGGACGAGGCCGTGAAGTGCTGTTCCATCTGGTCAACGAAGAGTTTTGCTATTGAAAATGGCCAGAAATAGTTGATTTACCATGATTTACCTAGTAAAAATAGGGATTTTCCATAGTTGTTTATGGAAAATGGATGAAAATGGGTGATTTTACCATAGAAATAGTTGATTTACCTACTATCTAAAAGTATCTAAAAGTGATGATTTTCCATAAATATGCGGCAGTTTGACTGAGTCCTGATCGATATTCAATGGATTGGTTTTTTCGGGGAAATTCCAGGAAACCCCGATGATCTTCATGGGAAAATCTATGGTTTCCGGTTAAGATTTTCCCTTAAACCAATCCATTAATCTATCCATTTCATTTGGGGATTTTGTAAAATGTGAGGACCCCAAAATGGATGCTTCATGATGGAAAATGTTATTTGAATCGATGATAGGGACCCCCCATCTATATCCACTATATCTATAAAGTTACAGTATGTTACAGACATAATGCATATAACATATCTATACATGTCGTATAATTTTTTAGATACACTATAATACATCTATATACATAACATGATACAATATGTATCTCTGCATGTCTACATAGCAATTGCGTTGTTTCGTGACGTCAAGCCGCGTCGTTTTGGAGCGCTCCAACGACGCGGAAAGCATCCGGCCATGCCACGGGGCCACTTGGGCGTCTCGGCATCCCCATGGTTCGGTAACGATGGCGGGGTTTACCACATGGGTACGGAACGAAAAAATCACCTGGTTCATGGTCCATTTATGGTTTCATAGTTTCATATCCAGAAGCATGTTTAAATGACCAATCTCCGAATTTCTGGATAGCCTTATCAGTACTTATCAGCCTTAAGTCCATTTTAGATTATTGTACAATCCAATCTATTGTTGAATCCATTATCCATCAATTGTGAGCCTTAAATCTAATTGTAGTTTCATATCCATATCAATGATCAGCCTTATTAACAGTTTCATATGCATTTTAGATAATTGAAACTACATATACAGTAGTACTTAACATACAGTTTCTAATATAATATATATAGATAATCCATATCTATATCCATATCCTTATCAGCTATATATGATTGTATATAGATGTTCCAATGACGCTCCCTGGCTCCACAACTTGACCACCGAGGGGATCTGGATGTCGCTGTGCTACAGGATATTCCACAGGCGATTGATCCCCGCCGGGTGGGTATGGATCATACCATTCCGAAGACGTCTTCTGAAACATGGAACAACAGTCATGAATTGATCCCATGAATTATTTTTGTTTAATGAAAAACGATGATTTCACCGATATTTTTCCGTATCAAAACATTTGCACTCTGGTAAATTAACATAACCATGGAAAATCACCATTTTTAATGGGTAAATCCACTATAAATGGCCATTTTCAATTACCAGAGGGTAATCCCTTTTGATCCGTGTCAAAACCTGGACCCAGTTTTGACCTGCAGCGTGCTGGATCTGGATCTGATCCAGGTCTGGAGCAAAGGGCTCGGGCTCGACGTTTCGCTCCCTGTGGCTTGGAGGAAGGGCTTTCCTCAGCCGTTGATCGAGCTGGAATTTGATGGGAAACATGCCAAACTCAGGGTTCCATGGTGATTTATAAATGTATCAAAATGTTGATTTATAAATGTTGGTTTATACTATGAT